AGATAAATTGCAACGATATTTAAATGATTTGAACTTCGCTGTTCTAAGTCTGATTGCTCTTTCGCATACCTCATTCCACCAAACGCAGTTATTTTTATTTTTTTTCGTGAATCTTTTATTGGAGTTATTTGCATTTTGATCAACGGACAACTCTGGAGGACGAGCTCCAGGTGGTAGAGAATCTGCAATAGCAATTGATATAAAGTTGACAAAATTATCGTATCTTTCCAAGACATCTGCGTTTGTGAATTCGAGGCTGAACATGCCTTTTGCTTTGCATAATTTATCCCGGAGAAGTTCCCAGTTACTTTTTTTTAAGTTAACCTATAATCGAATTTTGGTATTAACTTTGGAGTAATGTTTATTTTTATTTCAATGGGGAGATGGTTGCTGGACCAAGAATCTTCTAACACATCCCATTCAGTGATCAGAGCTATGTCAGGGGAGACAAAAGACAAGTCTATACAGGAGGTTTTATATTCACCGTTGGAGAAATAAAAATGAGTTGGACGACCGTCATTCAAAATAAAGACTTTCTCTGGGTCCAAATTTTCTGCTATAATGTTTCCATTGAAACAGTATTTGGAACTACCCCATAGCGGGTGATGTGAATTAAAATCGCCTAGCAAAATGAAGGAATCGAGATCGGTAATTTCATTTATAAAATTTGTCCAATTATTATGTTGCATATTGTGGCTGTTATGTGGAGGTCTGTAGACAGCTATTATCGCAATACTCCCAAATTGTGTATCAATCGTTATACTACCTGATTCAATGTAAGAAGGAACGTTATTGAGTGCAAGGTTGTTATAAATGATATTGTCTCTGATAAAAAAGGCTATTCCTCCTCCTCTGCCATCCAGCCTATCAAATCGGGAGACTTTAAGTCCTTTTATTTGGAACATATCGTCCGGTCCTAGCCAAGTTTTGATGGCTATAATAATATCGTATTTTTGAGCCTGGTTCATTAGTTCCAACTTATTTTTAATACTGCGACAATTCTACTGCAATATTTTAAAATTATTAATATTAACAATCACTATTATGTCTATTAAAAAGAATTAAGAAATTTATGAAAGTTAAGTTATACTTAAGTTACGTTACTTGAAATAAGTAGAGTATGCGAAGCTTTATCCGTTAAAGGTTGGAGATTTCGTGGATTGATATAGTTCCAACAGACTTTCAGTTCCCCTTAATTTTTGTGATAATTCATCATCATTTTGATTCTTTAAAATAATTTCATTTTTGCTACCATTAAAATTGTTCAGATTTGTATATTCCATTTTTTCATGAGAGTAGTCCAATCGCCATCTTGGAGCTGGGGCTGTATTTGTAAGGTTCCTGGGTGGACTGCTAGGAGTCATCAGGGTATTCATATTTCCTTGAGTAGGTGAGACCAGTTTACTTTGTTCTTGTTGAATTTGTTTTTTTTTTGTCAGAATGTGCTTTCTCCAGTCGATGACTAAGATTCTCTTTGTTTGGGTCGTTTGTGCTGCTCGTGTTCCTTGTATATTTAATTTGCCTATTGGTATTGAAGATTGTACCTGAAGAAGTAGAAGTTGCAGCAGTGACAGATGCATATGATTTCCTATTACTGTTTCTAATTCCACGGGCTTTGTTGAGAGCTTTTTCCTTTAGGTCAGGAAAATTTTCTCTTGTTCTGTACGGTACTTTCCTTTGGCCCAATACTTGAACCTTCGCTTCTTTAAAAAGGTATATTGTCATGTGCCATTATGACATTAATTTTGGCATATTTCTTGTAGAACTCACTTCTGGAATCTATACTTTTGTGGTCATTTTGGCCTTCTGGACAGTTTGCACATTTGGGGCCTTTTATAAGACAATTTTCTTCGTGCTTTTCTTTTCCGCACATAATACACTTGGCTTTACCTCTGCACACTTGTTATTTGTGGCCAAATTTGAAGCATTTAAAACATTGTAATGGTTTGGAACATATGGTTCGACCAAAAATCTTACTTTTGCAATAAATATTTCTTTAGGTAGCTCTTGGCCATCGAAAGTCAAAAGCTGGGGATCCATTTATTTTCTTCGCTTGTTGTTGTCCTGTTTTTCATGTCAAGACGTTTTATTTCCCTTATTCTGGGGCAAATTAAATCTTGTCCATTATGGTTTCATTACTGACATCAGTGTCTATTTCTCGGATAATTCCTTTTCTTGATTTGCAAAAGCTGGGGACGTAAGTCTCAAGCCCTTGTTTTAATAAATTTTGATCATTTTTTAGTTTATTTGCCTCTTCTCCATTAGTTGGAATTATCTCCACCTTGGATCTACCCTTTTTGGTATAGTTTGTTACACTTGGATATATCTTTTCGTTAATAGCCAAACCAACGCGAAGTGCGGAAATTTCTGTGTTTTCTTTGACAGGTCTAACCCATACGCTAAAGGGACCTTTGCAGTTTGAATTGAAGAATTCTGTTGTTTTGTTTTCTTTAGATGGTAAAAGAACGGGTGAATTGGAAGCGATTGAGTTCTTTATCATTTTCACACCTTTGCTGGGCCCGTTTGCCCCATTCATAATGTCACCACTCACTTCGACCTCTGTAGTCCATTGACGCTTTGACGTTTTGCGTTCGTCGTTAACACCTCCATTATCTTGATGCACAATCTCACAATCCATTTTGTCATCAGACAAAGGCAAATCACTGCCTTTGTCTTTTTCACAGTCTTTCGCGCATCACCCGCCATGTTTTATCTATCTAACCTTCCGCTTGCGGGGGTAGATATGTACGAATGTTTTCGACCACTATGAGTTAATTTAATATCTACACAAATGTTAGAAATCAGTGTTCGGCCCAATGGCCGAACCGAGGTTTGTAAATGCCCCAAAAAGCAATTTCAATTAGTAAAAACAACAGATTAAAATAACTCGATCAGCTCGTCCGATGCACGTTCTTTAGTAAGTAATAGTAATCAAATTTTGGTTTTAGTACATTGAACCTAGCAAGCCATCTGGTGTCAGATAACTTGACAAATTAGTGGAATGTTTTTTTATCGCTTGAAAGACTGCTTTCATTGGTTTAATTCAACAAGTCCCAAAGCACCTTATAGTCTGCTTTTCTTTTCGAGCTACGAGAGAACTACGAAAATATTTTTTTGCAAATTTGCTCAACTGCAGCTCGGAACTCTTTTGCAGCGAGCAGTGTTATCAAGACAGTGTCACACACAACGAATTAATTGTAAAGTAGGAACGTCTGTTTTGAGCAAATCGAATATTGAGTGCATTTTACCACAAAGGCTCGAACCGCCATCTGTGCCGAGACCTGTGAGGTTTTTGAGATCCAATCCAACTTTTTTTAATAAGTCTTTGACAGCTTGGTAAAACGTTAAAGCATTAGATTTGTCAATTTTAAGTAGACCAAGAAAATCTGTTATAAATCTTAATTGACTGTAACTAAAATATTTTATTCCTATACAAAGATATTTTTCTGTCGAAATGTCGGTGGACTCATCGACAATGAGTGAATATGATGATGAGCCAATATCGCTAATAAGTTTTTTCAAAAATTAGGAGCTATAAATTCTGTCATTAAATTAGTACATTTAGTTCTATGAAGCTTGATATCTTTTTTCTGAGGTTCCTTACTACTATTTAATACTTAACATAAATGATCAGCACTTTAAATGCTGCAAATGGCAAGCTATAAATGCTACCAGCTTTACTTAAATATTTTATTTTTTCTTTGGCTTGCGAATCACGATTGCACATTACAGGTAACGTTTGTTGTTTCGAGGAACTCAGTAAATGCATACAATTCCCATGCGAGTCAGTTTCCGAATGCTTTTCTAAATCTTTATGATGAGCTCGTAGACTTTTTTGGCAGGCTTTGCAGTGTGCTTGTTTTGCAAGATAATTTTTTTAATTTTTGGTGAGCCAACCTATAAATCATTTTTATAAATGTAACATAAGTCTTACAATTTTTTATGACAATCTTTAGAATTCTAGGATAACATAATACACAATGATGTTTATAATTTACCTTTACCAAAGCTTTCTTGCTCCCAGATGGGATTATATGGATAAATTCGCGATTTCTCGGATTTCCGCATTGCTACGAGATTAGAACGACTTGGCCGCGTGTTCGGACAATTAATTTATTTAACGACCATATGTTATAAAATCAATAATAAAGTGGATACATAAAAAATTATGGATGCACAAAATAAATTGCAAAAAATAATTATTGAAGATGATTTACTTACTTGCACACTATCACTGCACCAAAAAAATTTTTTTTTAACAAGTAGGACGGAAGTTAGAGTAAACAAAAAAAATACCATTCGAGTCAATAAGAATTTTACTTTGCTTGCATCAACTTTTTTACCTTTTATGATAAAATTCGTTTTAGTTCAATCAGTAAAGTGTCACATTTGTTGGACCATGAGGACCCAGTTCAGATCCATCTGAATGTATCTAATCTTTCGCGATTACGTTTTATCATATTTTAGATCATTTATACACCATAAGTATAGTATTATTGACCTATGACCTATATAGATAGAAAAAAAAATTAACACCTATTTATTATTCTATTTAACCGATTTGAATTTGAGATTGATAATTAAAATCGCATTGAAAATTTTCTTTTGATTTCAATTGATACCTTTATAAGCAGGGTACTCTGCCTATAACACTGCTTAACTAAGCCAAACCTTGCCTTACATTGCAGAGGGACCGAATTACCGAAGTTTGGCAATGTTTAGAAGAGTTAGACAAAGTGAGGCAGAGTTTAGTAGTATAAAGAAATATTATTTTCTCTCGAGACAGTACACAAAAAAGTTGTGTGTCATAAATTGTGCTTATTTTGAACTACAAATTTATGTCATTTATTGCTATTTTGCACACTTTTAGATCTGTATTAGGGGTAATTAAGACTATTGTTATGCATTATGTATTGTTAATACTCTTACTATAGTTTATGTTAATTGTTGAGAATAGTTTAATGAGGGTACAAAGTAAACAGAAGGTATGAGAAACTGACCTTAATAAATTTGTTAAGAAAAAGCTCTATGCCCTTAACTCTAGCATAGTAGCCTCGATTGATTTCTGGTGTCCTGCGACTAGCATGCTTTATAAAATAACCAATATAACAGTCATCCCAGTAGCCAAGCTGCACGGCGCTCTGCTTGCACTCGCTGGCATCATTGTTAGTGGCCTGGGTAGCCTCATCATCTGCTATGTCCTTGATCATAACGACGTCAACTGGAGTTATGACGGGGTACAGACCACACTATAGCTGAAAACTGTAAAGGCGATAATACCGAGTGAGCTTACCATAGATTTATACTTTATTTTATTTCTTTAACAAACTGACAACTGACAATAGCTGTAACGAATTACCCTGGTAGCCATTGGACCGACTAATTTAGACATTATTTAAGAAAGTAACACTGCACTGCTAATGTTCATACTGCTGAATTGATCCTACCCTGTCTTTGTCATGTCTTTCTGTAATTTAAACTCCGAGCACTACTTTAGTTTTGACTTTGTTGTTACATACACATACCAGGATGTGGGATTTTCCTGGAAGCTCTAAGCTCAAAGCTCGGAATAATTAAAGCCCTGGCTCTTATCTCATACTAATCATCATAAAATTAAAATTTATTACTTTAGTTCTGTTTTGATCAACAATTGTGTATTCACCTTTCATAAAGTATTTACACATATGCCTATAGCTATAGGACTTTTTTTGTTACACCAGCAATTCCAACTTGGTAATACTAGGGCTCCGCAAACTCGGCAAGCGACTTGCAAATTATTATGTATAAAAGATACCTAAAATTGCGGAATCGTGAGCAATTTTACCTATCACTTTGCAAAAAAATGTCAGACTCTCTGGTTTATAGTATAATAATAAAAGCCTAATCGTCTAGAGAGAGACTAAATAACTGCATTGTATCGTATACAGACGATCACAATAATGATCCCTTGAAATACAGTTGTCAATGTAACAAGCAACTACACATTTTCAAAACACGCAGAAAAATTGAGAATTCACTTTTTTATACAGTGGGTCGAGGCAACGAATATAGACGCTTATTCGCTACGTGCACAAGCTGAAAAAGCGATCGCAGCAATACCTGTGCTAATATGTGAAACTAAACGATAGGTTTGTCTTCTGCTAGCAGACTGCTAAGCATTGCTATCATCAGAAAGTTATGTGTTTATACATCGACAATCATTCTAAGGGTTAAATTTTTAATAAAATTATGAGTAGTATGTACATATTTTACTCAGGCATGTTCATTAAAAAACGCAGTGAAATACATTGGATACTGTGTATTTCTTAGAGTTTTTAGCTGGGGCCCGATCCTCTAAGCGTATCGTATGAACGTTTGTACATACTGTGTGAACAAGCCGGTATAGGGCTAACGGAGCTCTCTGATTGGTCAGAGGAGGTCTGTGTTGACTAAATTGCAAACTAATAAAACATATCTCGTATCACACAGTACACACGGTCATACTCAAGCGCTTATAGTGCTTGTAGTACAAATTTTGTCTTTAGTTATTCACATAGGATTGTACCACTTGAGACATTGTATTAATTCGTGATATAATAAACACAGAACCTTTCGTGTATCTATCGGGGTACTGGGTTCCTATAGGTATCAAGCACATATCGCGAATATTGCCTTCAGCTGTGCCAGACCAATAGTTCTCGTTTTTCCCTAGGATGGCGCTGCTTCAAAATTGTGCACGTAGCGAATAGAAGCCCACTTCTGTGTTAAAAAGTGACGAAGAGTTTGTTGGGTACCAAGATAGTAGTTCTGGTACCCAGCCACGTAGAGGCGCTGGTGGCTGAACGCTCTGAATAAATTAATGAGATACATGCGGAAATTTCAAATTTCAAATGATGCAATGAGAAACTTTGTGCATATTATTCCTGATTACGTGAAATATATACGTATGTACATATTAAGTTTGTACATGATTTAATGTTTTTCAGTACCAATGTGTGTTTTCCTGATTATTAATTGGCCAATGGTCCATCCAAAGTGTACATGTATACTATTATACATTATCGTGAAGGTAGCACGGTAAAGAGAATACCAATTAGATTTTTAAATTGTATTTACAATAACGATCCCTACATTGGCTATCTATTAGTACATATTATAATTTTTTACTATTCATTGTGATGACAACATAGTACTGGTGAGAACAATAGGTAGACTATTTTTTCGAAAATGTAGGTAGCATTATCAATGATAATTCTCACGTTTCTATAAATTTTACATACAACAAATGCATCTGCTCGAAATTTGTAAACATTATTCGGACCGTTTGTAGCTGGTTTTATCAAAGATTGAAATTGTTTTTAATGTTTCCGAATATTTTAATGTTTGTTTAAGGATTTTTATCCATTTATAATTTATTTATATTTATTTACAATTATTGTATGTACAGTACAATAAAAAAAAATTTTTTTTGACAATTGTACCTTTTAAAATTATTTGTGTTACCGAAGTAAAGCTCTCATTGGGCTCGAAAAAATTTTGAATTATTGCCTACTACTGGTTCATTCAAATCCCGCTCGCATTTCAACCAATAGCCGGGAGCACACTCTGCTCTATCTCGTTTTATTATTGTTTTGACAAGTTTATGCAGGATCCTTGTTTGTAAAAAAAAATTGCTCGTGTGTCACTATCAGGACAGACGCAGTCAAGAGATTTTGAAATTGGCTGATGAACGCAGTAATAGTGTTTTAATCCGGTATTGTAAAATATTTTGTCCAGTGACGGATAAATTAACAGTTTTTTGTATGTTTATGAGAACGAAAAATGCCTTCACCCCGTATCCAGTGTTCCTTTATAGACTGTTGTAATTCGAAACAAAAAACACCATTAAAATCGTTTCACAGATTTCCCACGGATGACTCCCGGTACGTTTTTTCTTTATTGTTTCTACCAGTGTAATAAATATTTCTGATGAAAGTGCAACGTTGTGATTGTTTCATCATGTACATGATGATACTAATAACTTTTGCGCACATATTTCCATATGTGAAATAGGATAAAATATCGAGACAGGGATATTCGTTTTTAATACAAACGTTATAATCGATTTTAACACAGTGGATTAAAAACATCGGAAACATACATCTTGTGGGACTGGAAAAACGACAGTTTGACAAGGCTTACAAAGTTTTTCAAACTACAAATGAACTTGGTAATCTGTGTGTACCTTCGGACTCGTTTTTTAAAGTAATCGTGGTATGTATTGAAACATTTGATTCGACTTTTAATAATTACGCTCATACCGAAGATGTAGGTAAAATGTTGATCAAAGAAATAACATCAAGCATAATAAATCATTATTCTGACTTTTGGCTTGTTGAAGAGCCTTGTCAATCCCATCGCAACGAAGTCATTGCATATTTTGTTAGAGTTCACATTTTTTATAAATTAAAATGGATGAATCGTGATTTCCTAGATGCCAAGAAAAAAAAAAATGTTGAAAAAAAACCGAATGCCAAACTGAAAAAATTAAGACATGAATAATCCTATTAGCAAGTCAGTGCGTGTTCTGTTTATTGAAAAAAAAAAATTTGTGATTCGTGAAAAGTAATAAAATAATAAGGAAAATTGTAAGTCACAAAAAACTTAAGGTATTGTGAGTTAAGATTGTTTTTTTTCCCTTTAGCATAATAATTTGAACTTTATTGTTTTTTTTCCCTTTAGCATAATAATTTGAACTTTATTGCGCACTTTTTTGTTGATTCCCGAAAGTTGTTTCTTTGCGATTTTTATATATTAATTCTAAAAAGTATTTATACGTCCATATCATTATTTGTATTTTTTTATGAAGTTTTAGATTTTTTAAGTATTTCTTGTTGTATTAAAATTTGACAAAAAATAATAAAACCAGGCTCAATAAATTATTGATAAAAAGTGTGACTTAGTAGTTATTAACTGGATGTAGTTTAATTAATACTTGTTCATATGATTTAAGTTACGAAATTGTTAATATTTCAGAGTAACAAACATTTTTATTGCTCAAAAAGGACAGGGAATAGAGTTCATTAGTTCATCAATGAGATTAACTTGATGCATACAAACTCACCATTTTTTATAGAATTCAATATCTTACGGGCCTCTGTTTGTGGTTGTTTTCTGGAATTATAATAAGTACTGCGAGCGATAAGAAAAAAAAAACTGCAATTTTCGTAGAAAAAAAAAAAAAAATGCCGAGCGAGATTCGAACCTCCGACTGCCGATTGGAAACAAAAGGAGCTCGCACTAGCCAACTAAGCTAACTACACGTTCCGTCTTATATGATTAATAGTTACATATGTTTATCGCAGAGGGCCCCAGCTTGTCCGACAGTTAATTCCATCTTGTATTAGGCATGATTATTCGATTGTTCCCCTTTAATGCATCTCAGAGCTACAAATTAGCTATAAAATATCCAGGTCTTTCCGTTATCTGTTTATCTGCTCAGCTTAATGAGAAGATGTGCTGGCTTGACATTAAGCTAGTACATCCACGCGTATTTCGAGAGATTGGGGCCCTACTATACCAAATAAATAACGTCATAAGCGCAACAATTTAGTATTTAGGCACGTTCTCGTACTATAATAACGACTCACTCACTATAGACACTATTACCTATTCCGAAATAGTACATAGAAGCGCCATCTACTGTCTACTTTTAATCAGATTTTTTTTCGCCACCAGTCCTATGTTGAGTGGGCTTCTATGAGCGTCTATATTTGTTGGTCGAGGGCAGTGGTGGGTAGGTAAGTTACCTCAGGTAACTTACTTAGTCTCTTAAATGTAAGATACCTGTGAATTACTTAGGGTGCCTGTACGTGGAAAACCTGCTGTTTGGCAACTGCCAGTCAAAGTCAAAGCTCAAAGCTCTCTGGGTCCGTACCATTTAACTTTTTTTTACTCTACGAGTCTACGGGCCTATATTATAACATAGGCCTGCGAAGCAAAGAAAAGTAATATGGTATGGCCCCTGGTCTCATGAGAGTGAGAGAAAGGAGAGAGGTTAAACGTGGTCACGTGATGAACCTCTCTCTCTCACTCTCATGAGACCAGAGAGCTTTGACTGGCAGTTGCCAAACGGCAGGTCTTCCATGTACAGGCACCCTTAGGTCAGTTTCTGACATTAAATGTCATTTTGCAAGAAAACAGCTGTGCCCATGATGTAAGAATATAAGGTGTGGCATTCCGAGGTCTCATTCCGTGAGTTCCAGTAGCGCTCTTCGACAACTTACCGACAACTTAAACATGACGCAAGATATCGCAAGACATAATTGAGTTGTCGGTAAGTTGTGGGAGAGCGTTACTGGAACACACCCATTTTCGTGCCGTTCTGCGCCTTCCATCACAACGCCATGGCATTTTTATGCATATTTGAGAGAGATGTGACTACTACAGCGCCGAAGAGCCTGTACAGTAAAACGAAGTGGCCAAAGTTAAAACTAAAATCTATCCCCCGCATTCATTTTGAAGTGAGACATATATATAGATACAGATATACGTAAAAATGTACATGTGCGTTAATTGATGAACGATTACCTATTTAGTCAGTTTTTCTGTGTGAATGTTCACGAATTGTACGTTTGGCCACTGACACAACTGGAATAAATATATGAAAATAGTTTCACGAGTTTCTTAATGTTAATATAATATATCCTAATAATAATATAATATCTTATGTATAATATGCTTTATACATAGAGATAGAAGGATAGAGTGCGCTAATAATACTAATGTACGTAAGGAAGTGCGATACGGTTAAAGAAAGAGATGGTCGCTGAGTGTCCTCTCCATCTCTTTCTAACTAAGCGCTGTGATTGACTACTGTTCAAGGGGGTATTCTGGCCGTCAGCGGCAGTTACTGACATAGGTTATTGCCTCTTGAACATCAGCCAATCACAGCGCTCGGGTAGAAAGAGACAGAGAGGACACTCGGCAAGCATCTCTTTCTTTTACCGTATCGCTGTACTCAGCCT